AATTTTCTATTATCAATCGAGGGCGGGATTTATATAGTTATACTCTTTTCTTACAATTTTAGTTTTTTAATTGACTTTTCTTATCACTGACCAATGCGTTGCTGTACCGTCCCTAGCATTAAGATAAACAGCATCCCCAGGCTCCCGGTTTAAAGGCCCTTACAAAAGAAAAAGAACAAAACAAACAGACAAAACAGACGAAGAGAAGTAGAAGGAGAATAATAATTAAAAGAAGAAAAATAAGAAGAATAAGCAGAAAAAGAAGAAGAAAGGAGAAGAAGAAGAAGCTCCCCCCCCCCCCAAAAAAAAAAAAAACAACAAACCCAACAACATCAACAAAAGTGGCACGCGGGACTGTCTAAGTGAAGCTCAGCTTTTACACTGGCCCTCATCCCCTCCTTACCCTTTAAAAATAAAAATCGCGATTGCGATTTCTTTGACCAGAATTACCCATAAATTATCGTCTTTGACAATTGATATTAGATCTAGAAGTACATTTCACTGACATCTGGAACCTGCAGAATTTCAAATCAAGACATTCTTTAATCATTGTTTATCTTGTGAGAAAAAAAAATCAGACCTAAATAGATTTTATTAGATGCATAACAAATGAGATAGCCCTATTCGAGAATAACGATGGGTCCTTTTCTCTTTCCTTAATAAAATAAAATAATGAAGACCTCTACCCCGTCTCAAAGATGACATGGCACCTATCAGCTGTGTGTAGCCAATTCGCGAGCGAGGTTATTAAGGAAAACAATGTTTGCAACTCCGAGGTCATTGATGAGGTACACGACCACGCCGAGAATGTCAACATACGAGGCTACGATGGCGATCTCGTGGAGGACTACCTCGACCTGGCTAACAAGGGACTGCTCTGCTACGCTGACGGATTGACGGTGCGTCGGGTGACGCATGCCTGTGACTGCATGCGTCGGGTTTGCGCCAGTTTTAGGCCGAGGAATGTGGACCGGTGTTCGAGTAAGTCACGGAAAATCGAATTAAGTTTTTAAGATGCAACCAGTTTTAGAAGAAAATCTAATACGAATCGGGATAGACACAAATTTATGCATACTGGAAACAGTAAGTTCCAATGAAGTGTCCTAATACATAATTACAAGTGATCGCAATGATCACCATAATGACATTAACAAAAAAAAAAAACAGGTTGGGGGGGGGGGGGTGGCTGTCTGCACGTAAAGTTGTAAAATATGTTAAATATATCGGGACAGAGAGCAAAAGAGAGGGCGTTGGATAACACCCCATTCAAAATGGTACAATGACATATTGGTCGGCAATGAGGGCATGCAAGAAAACGAAAGTGAGAACAAAAATGCAGAGAGATAACGAGATAGAGATAGCGAGAGAGAAAGAGAGAGAGAGAGAGAGAGAGATAGAGAAAGAGAGAGAGAGAGAGAGAGAAAGAGAGGCACGGGGGTAACTGCAGAAAACTGTTAGGACTTAAATGACAATAGGAATAGGGGGGGGGGGGGGTTAATTGGAGAATGCCGGGGTACATTTTCTCTATATACGATGTCATGAATGGTTTTGTATTCACAATCCATAGTATTATACACTCATTCGTATTTCCTCTTTAACATAATTATCATTGATTGACCCCGCTTAATTTACAGAAATCGTCCTCTCCCCTTTCGCCCCAAACAACGGAAACGCATCGTCACCACGATCTGGTCACCATGGTTACGGGCCAGCGTTTAACTGCTACGGTTATCGTTGCCTAGTCATCTCTCCCGGCCTTATGCGCTCCCGCGCGACACCGCTCCCTCTGGGCACAACTCGATGGATGATGATGACGATGGCGATGGTGATCGCATCTGCTACTATGACAACGGTGTTGAGTTGAGCGGTTAACTAGTGGATGTCGTAGAGAAGAGATCCGTTTTGTAAATGATGCCCGGGTCATGAGGTCGTTATCCTGTAAATCGACGTTCGGTCACAATCTTGCGGTGATGCTGCAGTCAAAACACTACGGATGTAAAACCTAATAATATGTAGCAGTGGATATGCATGCATGGCTACGTCGATCGGGAGAGATTCAATGAGATTGGACAAGAAACTATAATTTTCGATTTGTGCTGGTAGAAGAACTTCTATGAAAAACGCAGCTAGTTTCCAATAAACCCAGTGATGGTTTCGGTCAAATAAGAAGACGACTTAATAATTAGGTTAACTTATATGTATTCAAATAAATATTTTAAGACTCGCGTTACTAGCATACTGTAACGCACGCGTAACAACAATGTTGGAAAATAACATCAGAAATTTCATCTTTTCTTCTAAATGTAATTTTTTTTTTCATTGTAAATTCTTCGAAATACATTTGTTGAATGAGTGCCAGACGCATAACATATACGGGTCTGCGCCTGTGATCTACACCACCGGAAGTATGGGCAATTTAGCATAACTATCTCCATAACTATACTCAATCAACACTCGAGTTTTACCTCTGCTTTGATACTCTTGCATTTATATACTGTGCAAACGTCATATTTGATTAATGGAATAAACGTTTTAACAGAAATTGTAACAATAAAGTCTTTGGAATCAATCGTTTTGATTATGCTACAAATACCAACTGAGGGAACCAAATTGAATGTTTCTGATATTTAAGAGCCAGATATGCGGATTGTCGTACGTTGTTGATAGTGAAATGAATCACCAATGGGAAAATTAAAAGGCAAGAGGCTGACGCAATTTTACGTCAATTAGCCCCTTGCTATCATCCCGTATGTACCTTCTAGATCAACTACTAAATCAGATAATTTACCATTCTCAGGACTACCCCAAAAGTAATTACCCCTCCCCCCCCCCGGGGGGTATTTGCCTAGGGACAATGAGGGCTTTTTTTAAAGGGGTATAGTTATGGGGGAGGGCAATTGTTCTGGTGATAACTGTCCACAGGGTAGTTTCAACCTCCCACTCTCTCTCTCTCTAATCCGCCCTCTCTCTCTCTCTCTCTCTCTCTCTCTCTCTCTCTCTTTATATCTCCCTCTCTCTTTCTCTACACCTTCCCCTCTACTTCCCTTTCTGTGATACATTGAATTGCACAGATACCCAAATCCAATTAACAACATGATTTGAAAATAAATACATCTACATCTTTGTATCTGTGCAATGAATATGCTCCATTTCAAGAAGCCTCTATATTTATTGATTTTGTTGCTTCGTTTACTATTCTCAAAGCTACTCAGCACCAGTAGAAAAAACAAATAACACATCAAAGCAGAAATGTAATAAGGCAACAAATGTTGTTTTTCCTAAAAGCTGAAAAAACTTGTGAATATGGTAGATAAACATACAATAACACAAATATAACAAGTATAAATAGTAGTGTGAATATATAAGCTATGTTAAATAAAAATGTCTTTCTTTAACTATTGCACTGTCTATTTCTAAAAATTAATAGTTTTCATTTGCATCTATTGAATACAATATTTCGATTTCACAGGTAAATTTGTTAAAAAATCAATATTCTGATAATCAATTCAGAACATTTTTAACATTAGAAAAAACACTCCTAACCTGCAAGTGATTTTTTGACATGTATCTAGATTATTTTTCATTTCAAGTTGTCTAATTAATGCATAATTAAAGAAAATCTACTTGATAACGAAACATTAAGATTATTATATTAATCTACCTAATTAAAGTGGTAGCTTATAATGAATTTATGTACAGTACATCATTAGTGTCTCTAATGTTATTTCTATTTCATTTTCATATGTCTAGAATATAGTGATTAGGTAATTTTGATGTGGGTGCAATTTACTTTTACAGAATACTATGTAATTACTGAAAGGCAATATTCAAAGAACTGTTTTTTATATCAGTACTATATGTATTAACAACTGAAATAGTATTCCGAGATTAAAACTTGCATATAAATTTGTGCACACAAAAACAATATAGCACATGTATTGAACCTAGCACACATACTCTTGAGAAACACAGTATGAAAATGGCAAGATTTGATACAGTCTTTGGCTATAAATAGTATCGTTGGAATATTTCGGAGCTTGCACATAGTTGTTTAGTACACGAGGAATACAAGTAAATGTCAATGTTTCTCGATATCATTCCTCTATTGTACATACATTGTACATTTGAATCTATCAGAAATATATTCTTGTAGAAGTTGTTTTTGGAGGAAAACAAAGACATGGTTCCTTTTAACACTAAACACACAGTCACATTTATAGTAATTGTGTACTTGGACAACAAAAGTAGCTCCGAAATTGAGATTAGGTTTTCTTTCTTCATAAGCAGAACTTAGGAAGACAGTAAGAATAAATAAGCATCACAATTACTTTGATTCAAACATATAAAAAGTCTGTCTCACATCACACCACAACTACTGTACATGTATGCAAACATAAATATTTTCCTCTCCCTGATCAGCACCTTCTACTCTCACTAGGTTCTCATTGCTTTAGCGTAATCTCTCTTAATAATAATAATAATATGGATATTTATATAGCGCCGGTATCCGCCAGGCTCTGACGCTCATGGCGCTGTACATACATGTATTACTATCACAAAAAATATAACATTCTTAACTAAAATAAAGTAAACTAAAACAACACAAATTATTACGCTACATTGACATATGAAGATGTTATCAGACAGGATTTCATTCTTCTAATTTTGTGAGGTTCTCTTTGCTTTAGACTCTGCTCTTTTTAGCTTGGTGATGTTCTCAATGAGGATGTCACTTTTGAGAACCAGGACTAAACAGCCCCAAGCATATGAACCACTGGTCTAGAAAAATACCTCTACTCTCATTATGTTCTCTTTGATTTAGCCTAATCTCTCTAAAGATGTTCTCAAAAAGGACTTCATTCTTAGGGCCTGGGTTAAACAGCTCCTACATTAGTACTACTTCACAGGGCTAGCACAGTACCTCCTAATCTTGTGAGGTTCTCTTTGCTTTAGACTCTGCTCTATTCAGCTTGGCAATGTTCTCAATGAGGATTTCATTCTTGGGGACCTGGACTAAACAGCCCCAAGCATATGAACCACTGGTCTAGAACAATACCTCTACTGCCATTAGGTTCGCTTTGCTTTAGACCCAGCTCTCTTGAAGATGTCCTCAAAAATGATTTAATTCTTAGGGCCTGGGTTAGACAGCTCCTACATTTACTTCTCCACAAGGCTAGTACAGTACCTCCTAATCTTGTGAGGTTCTCTTTGCTTTAGACTCTGCTCTATTCAGCTTGGCAATGTTCTCAATGAGGATTTCATTCTTGGGGTCCAAGGTTAAAGCCCTCATGTAGTATATCCTGGCTTGTTTGTATTCTGCCTGTATTAATGGAATAATGAAAGATTACAAAAATCCTTAAATACATAATGCTACTTAAGTATCATGGATGAATTTTAAGAGTATATAATGGAAACAAACTTTTAACAAATCAGTAGACTTTCCAATGCAATTACGACCCAAATTTTGATAATCATGGTCCTTACCATTGAAAATCAATTTGCTTCTGTAAATTGAGAAATTTTGTATAGCACAAAAGTGTAAATTTGAACAAGGATACTGGGCACTACAACAATAAATAATAATAATAATAATACAACGGTGCTTATGAAGCGCTTTCCACCGAAGTCTCTAAGCGACTATGACAAAAACCTGTTTCATAAAATATTGTTCATGATACATGTTTGTAAAATTATGGGTATACCATATCTAGTACAGATGAGAATTTTGGGCATAATGTCAATTCCTTTCTTTGCATCTTCTGGAAATATTTTCGCGCGCGAAAAAAAAAAAATCGGGCTTATAATTACCTTGAGGTGATGTATGGCTCCTAGGTTGAGCAAACATGATCCCATCTCAGGGTTCAGAATCAGCACCTCTTCATATGTCTGAAACCAAAAGAAAGGAGAACAATCTACATCAAAATATTATAGGGGGAGAGAGGGGAAGGGGCAATCAATACACGAAATGTGAAGATTTAATTGACAGTTAGACTACTACTGGCCTATACACAGCAACAAGAGCATTCACTTAAAGGGATTGGGTATCTTTGTCTCAGATTCTGAAAAAATATCCTGGATTTAGCTCATGCTGTCATGAAAATTATAAACTTTTAGGTCAAACAGGAAACCCATGACTTTTACAAGCCGATAGCCTGTCAGATTATTAAGATATTTATGATTGGAAATCAAAATAAGGAAAAAAAAAAGTTTTTCTAACAGGAATATGAGTATGGTAAAACCTGTCACTGAAAGGTTTTTACTTTTTGAGGCACTTCATGATCATTTTGAAGCGCAAATTTTTTAGGGCTTCAATATAACACCATACCACAGATAGGGCCATGCATCTCAGATTTAACATTGTTAAACGATGCCTTTAAAAAAGAAATTATAGTAACACAGTGCCTTGCAAATTCAAATTAATATCAACAAGGCTTGAAAGCCCAATCTACACACATTACTATGGTAATATAATTTCGTAATATGATGTACACTGTACCCACATATGACGCCCCCCCCCCCCCCCCCATCCCCCCCCCCCCCCCCCCCCCCCCCCCCCAAAAAAAAAAGTATTGAATCGTCAGCTAAATGAACAAACATTATCTTTGCATACCTTCTGTGCTTCCTCTCTTCTGTTGAGTCCTTTCAAATGGTTGGCTTTCTCAAAAAGGAGCTCTGCTTTCGTTTCCACATCGATGATCTGGTTCAGTTCCAGGGCTATCTCCACTTGTCGTAAGGCCTGCAAGCATAGACAATTTGTGAATATGAAGATTAAGAAAGCATCACCGATTTGAAATATTTTTAAAAAAACTAGAAATAAGAAGAAAAAAAAAAGAACGAAGGGTTTCACTTTCACAATCAAAAACAGAAATTAATATCAAAATGATAAAAAGTGTTGATAACAAACATGGCCCTGTCTTATAAACAGTTACAATTAATTGCAACTTATTTGTGATTGATATCCATCTTAACTACGTACATCAGAGATAGGAGACTTGTAATTGATTGAAGGACTTGCGATCGATTCATATCCGTTGCAACTCTTCATAAAACGGGGCCCAACATTCAATGCATGATGTATATGCTTACATCCTGATAGTGATGCTGTAGACTATAGACACTGGAGAGCAGTCTGTGTAGTTCTATGACGGTGGGTTTAGTCTGAACAGCTTCACTGAGATAGAGCTCTGCGTCCTTGTAAAGGCCAAGCCTCGTCATCACCTGAGCCTAGATAGAAAATCGAAAAGAAAGACAAAAATTTGGAGTAAAGTATAATACTAAAGGCATTATTTAAAGGTAGTAAAAAGTTTTGGTACGGGGTCATGAATTTTGTTCAAATGAACATATTGGAAGCATATGCAATCCTACAATATTCAGTGATCGTTGGCGCACTTGCATTCCAGTCTTAAGTGATGAAATTGTAATGATGAACTGTTTATGTTGTATAGCTCCCTCTCAAGGTCAATATATTAATTTCGCTATAAAACAATGTTTCTTGAATAAAATCAACCGATTGGCTATTCTCGTTTGGAAATTATATATCACAACTACTATTCTGAGATTTTCATGGTCACAGCTACCATTGTACGGCCGTAGGCGCTATTTAAAAATTTCACAAAATTTAGCGGGAGCATCAGTAAATTTTTATATTCAATTTATCTCGAAAGCAGAAGTGTTTTAGGGGCTAAATTTTCTAGTGCTTATAATACATCAACAAGGGGCATCCAAATATATTGAAATTGTAAATTGTAAATTTTCAAAATTTCCCAAAACTTTGTATTATCTTTAACAATGATAAATCTGAGATGCATGGCCCTACGTGTTATCAGTGTCTGTCATATGGTGAAATATTGAAGCCCTTAAAAAATTGCGCTTCAAAATCATCACGAAGTGCCTCAAAAGAGTCAAAATCTTTGAGTGACCGATTTTACCATACTCATTTCCCTGATAGACTGTAGTGTTATGAAAATTGTTAAATGGGGTTCCTCACTGACCTAAAGGTTTATAATTATGATTGCAGCATGAGCTAACTCCAGGATTTTGTTTCAGAATCTGTGACAAAGTTACCCAATCCCTTTAAAATCCCTGTGTCCCTTTTGTAGACCGCATTAAATTCAATAAAACTTTGCCTAAATCTCTAAATTATATTTGTCTTTCCTCTGAAATTTGAAATTAAACAGTGATCCAGTTTTCAAATGAAGCATGGAAAACTATCAAAACTTAGGATTCCTGTCAAATCGACCTTTGACATAAACACATGACATACCATGGACTATCAATGGTATAGAATAGCATTAAATCCACCTTTACTGTTTTCAAATAATACTGAAAGTAAGGTTTATATGGAATAAGAATACGTCCATGCAGGAAAAAGGGTCTGAAACCTCCCAACATGTTTTCTAAGATCCAATGAAAAATCTCGGCTCAGATGCAAATTAAATAATTACTTCACAAAGACTGCTTCATTATATGACACTTATATTAGAAATACTTGAATGCGCTGCAAGGGTAAAGTAAAGACGCGGTACTCACGTATTGAAGCTGGATGTCCAGATTGAGAGGCTCTAGGACCAAGGCTTCCTTGTACGTCTCCAGGGCTTGGGTTGGACGATCGGTGTTGTAATAGATGGCGGCCAGGCTCTGCAAGGTCTTGGCATTGTTGCTGTAAGACAGGGCCCTGAAATGATACGAGAAAGAGATTAAATCGATCGCACAACTTTGAGTGATGACATGAAAAAAAGGAAGGGGCAATGGAATGAGGCTGGGAAGGATAAAGAGAAAGAAATTGAAGGAGGGGGGGGGGGCAGAGAGAAAGAAAGATAGAAAGAGAGAGAGAGAGAGAGAGAGGGGGGGGGGGAACAAAAACCTAGCAGATCTTGAAGAGAAAAATGAGGCTGGGAAGGATAAAGAGAAAGAAATTGAAGGAGGGGGGGGGGGCAGAGAGAAAGAAAGATAGAAAGAGAGAGAGAGAGAGAGAGAGAGAGAGAGGGGGAACAAAAACCTAGCAGATCTTGAAGAGAAAAATGAGGCTGGGAAGGATAAAGAGAAAGAAATTGAAGGAGGGGGGGGGGGGCAGAGAGAAAGAAAGATAGAAAGAGAGAGAGAGAGAGAGAGAGAGAGGGGGGGAAAAAAAAACCTGGCAGATCTTGAAGAGAAAAATATGAGAAGGCAAAGAACGTTACAACCAAAAGAAACCTATAAATTGATAAACTATGCTGGGATGGTATATCTCTTGAAAGCAGAAGGAGGTTTTATTCTGTTAGAATCAGAAGAAGTATAGCTGTAGATATACAGTCAAACCTGCTTCAGTGACCACCTGTATAGAAAGACCACCTGTCTACAAAGACCACATTTTTTGTTTCCCTTGAAAATGTTTTCTTATTGAAACATGTACTAAAGGAACCTGTACATAAAGACCACTTGCCTATAAAGACCACTTTTCTTGTCTCCCTTGGGTGGTCTTTATAGACAGGTTTCACAGTAGTATGCTCATAATCAGTACCCATTTAACACCTGGGTGGAGAGTGGCAAATGTAGATCAATGTCGTGCCGGAGGACATTAGTGCTGCTGTGGGACTTGAACCGCGGACCTTGTCATCCACATTCCGGTGACATATCCACTCGTCCACAACACCTCTACATGACTTTAAAAAAGATTGATCAACAGTAGAGATGTCCTTACCTGATGTACATGTCTTCTGCCTCGCCGGTCCGATTGAGATGTCTGAGGACGCGGGCCTTATTCGTCATGGCAACCACATGGGTAGGCTCAAGCTCCAAACATTTCCCACAGTGATATAGGGCCACTTGATAATCATCTGGTATAAAAGATTAAAATTACCAAAATGAAGGAGTATATATATAAATATATATATATATATATATATATATATAGCGTCGTTTTTAGTATATTTAAGAAAATTTTTATGTAAATTTTATTATCTTTGAGAATAACCTTGAACGGCCATAGGCCTCTGTTTTTTCCCACCACATTATGATCTAAGTTGAAGATGTTTTATTTTAATGTTTATTATTGTATATATGCATATAAATTGTTGTTTTTTTTTTTTTTAATCAGATGAGGAAATAAAACTTGAACTTGAACTTGGACTTGAATGAGACCTGTCTAAAAGAAACAAATCTTGAGTAGGGTCAATGTAGTATTGGCTTTTTTGTGAAATAAGCCCTCTGGTCATCACAGGTGTACACAGACACACACACACTTAAAGAGAAGGTTGAGTTCTGGATAGAGGTGAAAAATAATTTGTGAGCGTAATCATTGTTATTATGCAGGTGTGGAAGAACATCATATAAGAGTCATGTTCCCTGAAAAGCATGGCTCTTCAAATGCCTTCATATTCTAAATATGTCATGTAACATCGTAAAACTCGGGGGTTGGGTTTTTACGCCACGTTTTCGTGTAGTCCCATATACATCTTTCTGTGTACAGTGTTTGTAACTTTAACAAGACTTGGCCAAATTTCTTATCATTTTGATGATTCCAGAACCTTGCAATACACACAAATTCTTATATGCTAGATGATCAACCTTTTCTGGTCGATTCCACACCGTTTCTTTCACAATGTAATCGCATGACCAGAACTCAACTTCATCTTTAAAGTCTACGGGGAGGTCATGGATGCACCTTCCCTTTCTTGCCTCTTCTGGTACTATTCCATTCCCGCTGGGTGACTTTATCAAGAAGTCCAAACGATGATGTCAAGAGGATCCACCCACTTTTAAAGGCCATCTGTACTAGTTTGGCTAGGAGGGATTAGACCACCCAGGAAGGTCACTGACAGGTGGCTATCTCATCAACTCAGCTCTCAATTAACATAAGAAAAAGAGGATCATGGGGACCGACGGTCATCGATTAGGCATTGTTTTCTATATAGAAGGAGCAAGTAGCTATAAGTAGTGCAGAGGGGCGTTAAAGTTGATTTAAGTCTTTGTGAAACACTCCCCAGGTATTATTCTATTTCTGCTGGGTGACTTTATCAAGAAGTCCAAACAATGATGTTAAAGCCCGACTGTAATACTTGTACATGTTGCTATTTGCTCCCTCTATATAGAAAACAATGCCTAATTGGTGACCATTAATCCCCCATGATCCTCTATTTCTTATCTTAATTGAGAGCTAAGTCGATGAGATAACCACCTGTCCAGTGACCTCGCAGGGTGGTCTAATCCCTCCTATAAACTAGTACAGATGGCCTTTAAGAGGATCCACCAACTTTCAACTTCACTTACCCTTTCCCATAAGAAACGCAGCGTAGTTGTTGTGGAGGTCCGCGGACGGCTCTACCTGCTCCAGCCCCTGCGGTAGAAGGCTTCCGCTGCTGGGACATCCCCTTGTCTCTGCTTCAGGGAAGCCAGGTGGTTCAGGACGTTCATGTACTGAGGATCGATCTCCAAGGCCCTCAGAAACAACGCCTCTGCGCTGTCAAGCTCACCTCGGTTACTATAAAGTTATAAGATATTACGATAAAGTCAAAGAAAAAGAAGGAAATAAACCGCTTACAAAATGCAGCAAGCAGGCACACCGAATGAAACAAATTTTCTCAGTAATCTTTAAAGTTTTGGTAAAGGAAAAGAGCTCTTTATTATTTTTTTTTTATGGAGGAGAATATCATGGTAGCAATATGATTTGCCGCATAGTTAAATACACAAATGCATTTTTCTAAAACCCATATCATACATGTGCATTAATTTGATGTTTACGAAATGCTAAATTATAATCATGTGCTGCATTAAGATTTCAAAGACATTTCCTTTCGCAATGGAATCAAATAAGAATAATATTCCACTTTAACATCGACAATGCCTTTAAGCGCTTTACAGATATATTATTACCCCCGGTCATCGATTTCAGGCTTGCCCGTACATTCTCCACTCCCTGGGGAGCATTCTAGCAAGGCGCCATTTAACAGACGTTCACAACGCTGAGCAAACAACATTACCTTTCACATCTATTAACACATGGGTGGAGAGTGGCAAATGTAGATTAACATCTTGCCAAAGGACGTTAGTGCTGGGCTGGGGTTTGAACCCCTTACCTTGTGATCTGCAGTTATCCACTAGAACACAATACCTCTACATGACTAGCACTCTATTGTATCTTTAGTGTGCTTGGTATAAAGAGTCACTGGCAAAATGAAATTCTTTTTTCCATAGAAGGATACCTATTTACACATTAAAATTCACCCCCAACCTGCTGCAAACTTTGACCGCATTTCCAACATACACTTACTTATAAATATTGGCCAGGTTGAAGTAAGCTTTGGCATGATGAGGGTTAAGTTTGATCGCCTCACGGAAGTACTCTGCTGCCCTCTCAGGTTCGTCTTCGCTCAGCAGGGTACCTAGATTGTTAATGGCTGCACCATGCCGAGGGTATAGCCTGAGAAGATAAACAAAGCAATATTTAACATGGGTCCCAAGATTTCTGATGAATTGTATTATTGCATAAATTAACAAAGAAGGAAACAGGGTTGGAAAGAAATGGCATTTCTTTTAGAGAGTCCTACATCTTTTATACAAGCAATGCAAGAAAGATCCATGTTTTTTTTTTCTTCTTCTCGTGTTACCCCCTTCACACACCCCCCCCCCCCCCCCAAAAAAAAAAAAAAATTTACCAAACATAAAATTCACTCAAACATAAGTTTGTAGGCCTGAGTAACGTACTACATTGACATATTCATTTGTACTTGAAAATGTTCACTTTGTCTGAGATTAACCTCAAATTTTACTATTTAGAGAACACCAACATTTTACAGAATAAGGCCTGTTCAATATAAAAAGGGGATCCTACACACAACACCTGCATGTGTATACATGTACCTAGTTTCCTCTTTAAATCAAACAATCAAGTTGTCTTTCTTTCACTGATATGTCCATGATGTTTTTTTAAATTCAGCCAAATTCCCACAAGACTTTTGAGTATTTTCGTTTAAACAACGGCAATAAAATAGCTGAATATAGATGGCAAAAGAAATAAATATTAAAATAAAAAAATTATGTTACCTTAGTGTTTCTTGAAAGTGGTTTATGGCTTCGTTTCTGTGTCCTATGTCCTTGAGATAGTTGCCATAGTTGTAGTGCATCTTGGCGTTATGTGGTAATGTCTGTAATCCAGCCCTACAGATAAAAACAAAATATGATTAGTCCGGAAATCCCACTTTCACTATGAATATGACGGACAAAGAAAGTGGACAAAATATACAGTTCCTCAGGTAGATAAAGGAACATCCCTTCACTGCTATTATGTAAAAAGTGAATATGCATGTGACACCTGTTCTACATATTTTTAAATAATAGCAGTGAAGGGATGTTCCTTTGTCTACCTGAGGAACTGTAAATTTTGTCTGCTTTCTTTGTCAGTCATGTTCATAGTGTTTATAAGTATCAGTGACAATGCCTCCAAATGTGGCTTTTGCAAGCAATTTTCTTGCTGTCGAGTTTAGCAATTACCTGGTGGAAAAAAATCCTGGCTGAATATAGTTGAATCCAGTGTATTGTGCTTGGTATCATCATTATTATCATAATAATAACAACTGTCATTATCATCATCATCACCATCACTAGCATCATCATCATCACCCTCATAGTTATCATCATTATCAACATCATCATTGTTATACAGTAGGCTTGCGGTTGCACCATGTGAGAGAGAGAGAGAGAGAGAGGCTTGGGGAGTCCTGAAAAGGACTGTTTGTGTAGTCTTGAAAAAGACCGTTGGTTATCTTTCTTAGCTTATAGTTCTAAGGAGAACTATAGCGCTTTTAGAGAATAAGTGGCGGGAGTGGCTCAACGTTTTGAATAGGTTGACTATCCGTCGTCAGGAGTTATCATCGTCACCTTCATAATCATCATTATCACCACCACTATCATCATCATCAACATAACTACCATCACCACCACCACCACCAACTTACTTGAATAAGGTTTCTCTAGACTCCCAGACGCGGTTCCGAACCCATGTCCTTCGGCAGAAGCACAGCAGCATGATGAGAGTAGCCACCGAGACGAGGGTTCGGCCAGAGCTAGACGTCAGAGACGCAAACATCTTGCAGGTACCAAAGGCCACCAGTATACAGAACCCAAGGCTGGGATGAAGGAAGAGAAATGGTTATAAATATTCCCCATGTTGGTCTTACAAAAATTTGAATTTGATCAATGAATTTTTATGAAATGTCTATATGTTTGATTATTGATTTATGTCATATTTTGTGTTGATTCAATTTGAATTGCAATTGTATTGTATATAACCTTGTGAAATGGATCGCAATTCAGCCATTGGCTGCAATGATCTTTTTAATAAAAACCATTTCTACCTACATGGTTTTCAAGATTTTCGAGGTTGTGCTCAATCAAAAACAAAGTGGCAACTCTGTGACGTAACTTGTGAGCTCTTCTCTAATTTGCCCTGTACAGGAATTTTCATAAACTTTCATTTTCTTACTTATTGATGACGAAATACACTTGTTTCACGCAGGGGTTGTATAAAAACATATTTGCAATAATAATATTAAAGGCAATACAAAGTTTTGGGATGCGGTCATGAATTTGGTTTAAATGAACATATTGGAAGCATATGCGATCCTACAATATTCAGGGATCGGTGTTGCGGTTGAAATCGAGTCTAAAGTTATGAAATTGTAAGCAATAAACTCTTAATGTTATATAGCTCCCTCTCAAGGTCAATATATTAATTAAGCTATAAAACAATGTTTCTCGACTAAAATTGACCAATTAGCTATCCCTGTTTGGAAATTATATATCACAACTACATATTCTGAGATTTTCACGGTCACAACTACCATTGTACATTGTAGGCGCTATTTGAAATTTATCAAAATTTACTGGGAGCACAGGTAAATGTTTATATTCAATTTTTCTCGAAAGGAGAAATATTTCAGGGGCTAATTTTTCTTGTGCTTATAATACACCTACAGGGGCATCCAAATATATCAAACTTGTAAAGAATCACTTTCCACCCAAATAATTTGAATGCAGAATTTTATCACAGCTTTTCAGGTGCAGCCATGCATGTGCATACCTGCCAACATTTGAAAATGAGACTTAAATTTTTTAGCACGGTATGTCTTTGAAAATAAGAAATCTGTACCCTTAACAGACGTTCGCACATGCAGCGGCAGTGTACATGTACATGTAACTGGCAATACGCGGTAAATCTGTGCAGAAAAGTAAATACAAATTCACCGCTCAATCATGCAGACCTTTAACGCACCCAATACGTGAACTCTCACATCGTGGCACATGATAAAACAAGCTTAATTTGGCTTAAGCAAAAAGAAATTGAAAAAAAATTAAATTGAAAAAACAGAATATTCCGGATTTTGGGGTCCTAAAAATCCAGAAAAACAGAATATTCTGGATTATTCGGAAGGGTTGGCAGGTATGCATGTGGAACATTACTCAGTGTCCTTGTAATAGCCATACACAAAGGCGAGGTTCCTGTTTTCTGTGATATTGCACGATACGTGACATTGTGATGCAACATTGCATATTTAATAGTAGGCATTTTCAAAATAGCATTTACAAGCTGTGTCAATATGCAAACATTACATGCGTAAGACAATACAATAATTCATATATCCATATCTAATTTCTAAAGAGTGTAAACAGAATTATGGAGCAGACTTACTGTACAAGTACAAAAGTACTCATTTAAATTTTGACCTTGATTTAAATGCATAGACTCTGCATGAAATATTTTGGTAAGTACATGTACATCATCTTCATTTTTAACAGGTATACCGGTAGGTTGACATCTCTCGATTATTTTGTTCATCCTTGCATTAAAATTAAAGATATAAAAAAGATGTAATGAAAATTTGTATTCATGCCCTTTCGCTAGCCATGTGATAAACTGATATATTCTAATCCCTCACTCGATACAATCATAACTTTTCCACACTCATAATATCATGTTCCAAATTTCATCTGCTCAGGGGTGATAGTGAGCATACCCCCCCCCTCCCCCCTTTTGAGTATGAAAATTGGGAAAACTAGATGGAAAATGATGCCTCCATCATAGAGCAATTTTACAAACCAAAACAGAAGCAAGTTTTCACATTCAAGTTAGATTGTAATACATTAACAGGTTCTCAGAATATTGGGATTATAAGGTATTTCTCATATGTATGACCCTTTGATCTTTGACCTCATGACCCTAAAATCTTATAAGTTCATGTCATTGGCTCTGCAAGATACATACATGACCTAAGTTGGGCAGGAATCCATCGATCAGTTCTTGAAATAACGCGTTGACAAGCTATTTTTGCATGCATAATGAGCCAATGTGACCTTTGACCTCGTGACCCCGAAATCTAATCAGATCATTATCTCTGCAAGTTACAAACATGACCGAAGTTTGGCAGGAATCCATCAGTCGGTTCTTGAGATAACGCGATCACAAGAACGGACGAATGGACAACCCGAAAACATAATTCATCCAACTACTTCGTAACAGAAGCATAAGAATCGGGAAAAATCAGGAAAATAGGGGTAAAATAAGGGAAAAACAATTTAAATCAGGTAATTATCAGGCCTGTCTGCCAATAAAGCACATATTAATACCAATATTCTGGAGATAGCCAGCCACACAAGCCTAGAACTCATCATTACCTTGGTATATAAAGGATCCTCTCTGCCACAACAAAGCCAACTTTGATTAATAGATTAGAGGCAGGCAAGAAAGGAACGGCTAGAAAAAGCAATCCACATGCAAGTATTCTTCTCTCAGTTTCCTGCACAAAAAAAGACAATGGATAATATTTTCATTGTTCAACTTGCTTATAAAAAAAATGTTAAGCTTATTGAAAGATTAAACTATGACTGATTCTGCAGAAAAAATATATGGCATGCCATTCCAGTCGAAAATCTGATAACCTATCAAATGGCAATATTATCAGTGTCATAAATAATCTTGTTGGATAATGAGATATTATTATACAAATAATGCACATTTTGTTCGAGCATTAGTAAGAATTACCCACACAAGGTACCTTTGGAACAGTCTAACACGCCCGAGGCGATATCCGAGGGTGTTTGGAGGGTACCGAAGGTGGGTAATTCCTACTAATGACAGAACAAAAAGTTGTGTATTACTTGTTTTGAAAGATTGTGTTTCATTTGTTTTATATCATGATTTTACTAATGACCGGTTATCAGCATTTGATAATGACCGGTCACTATCAAAATTACGTGTTAGGCAAAATAAATGCCTGGTCACGTGTATGCTCTCAACATATCATTTGATTAGGATCCACGTCATCATCTTATAATTACATTTAATGTAATTCCCCGAAGTAAAATAATACCTTCAGGTCATTATGGTAAACAGGGTGGTCCAAAAATTTCAAACACATAAAATTGGAACTTGGAAAGAGTATGAACTGATGTATGCAAAGCTACAGAGCTTGCATATAGCCTCTCAGGCACTTAGATGTAATCGGGTGCAATCTGATCCATATTTAAAGCATTTTCAAACACATTTTATGACTAATTCATTCATAATTTTGGATGAGAATGAATATCAAAACCTTTTACTTTTTTTCTGACCTGTACAATAAAAATGCAAAACCTGTTACTGAAAAATGTGTTAACACCTTGTGGACCACCGCAGGATAAATTCAGTACAATGTTTAATACCTTTGACCTGAAAATACACTGAACTCCTAGGAGCGCAAGTGACGCAAAAGCCAGGAGGGTGGCAGCATTCCGAGGGTCCCACAAGGACTCCACCAGGGGGATACTCCCCTCCTGCCAGTCATGCGATAGTGTGGTGGGGCAGAGAAGCAGCCAAATGTTGAAGGCCACCAGGTAGCTGTAGGTGAGAAACCTGGAGTGAGAGATGGAGAGAGGGAAGGAGAGAGAGAGAGAGAGAGGGAGAGAAATAGAGGCAGAGGGGGAGAGGCAGAAAGAGAGACCACGTAAATACAAGACCATCTACTGTATATGCTATTATTACACAGATGTTCACACAAATCCTGCTGACACACAACAGTCTTTTTTTTTAATTTTTAATTTTTTTTTTTTTATTACTATTATTATTATGATTATTATTTTCATTAAAATTATTACAATCATTGTTATTATCATTTGTCATTTTCACTGGGTGGAGAGTGGCAAATGTGAATGAATGGCTTGGCAAAGGACGCTAGTGCCGGGCTGGGATCCGAACCCTCGACCCTCGGATTGGGCGTCAAGCAAATGAACCACTATACAACGACACCTCTTAATATAATAATATAAACATAATAAACAAAAGTTTCTCTATGCGCTGTACAAGCATGAATGACAAGAAATATAAGCACATAAAAAGGAATCAACAAAGAGAAATATAAAAATCTTATAACTACTAAAATGACTAACTTAACATAGTAACTACATACTGCATGTAGTCTTCAGATCTTACCTAGTGGTGAGATGAGGGGCAAAGGATGCTGGGTTGTCCTCTTCTGAGAAATGAGGGAGGTGACCATTCAACATCCACAGACGAAAACCAAGAAATACAGACGCCTGGAGAGAGAGAGAGAAAAAAAAAGGACATTATTATTTACAGTTTTATTTAAAGCAGGGTTGCCTCTTCGGTTGATCAAACTGCTGTACATAAGGGCTCTGCTTAATAAAAAACAACATTTATGAATTATTTACAAAATTAATAACTACAAATTGAACACATAAATATCATGAGAAACTAAGATTATGAAAACAAAGATATATAACATAAGAAATAAAGATCATGAAAACAAAGATAAATAACAAATGAAGAATTATTATTAATCCAAAATTAAAAAATCAAGCAGAAGTTCAAAAGAAACATGATTTTTCAACAGATACCAGAAACAAACTTTCAGGAGTCAAATTTATGACTCTCTATTTTTGTATTCATTTCTAAATTGGGCATAGATAAATTTCACAGTATGTTAAAGCCCTTGTGCACTAAGTTGGCCAGGGGGATTAGACCTCCCTGCAAGGTCACTGACAGGTGGTTATCTCATTAAATCAGCTCTCAATTAACATAAGAAAAAGAGGATCTTTGGGGACCAACAGGCACCGATTAGGCATTGTTTGCTATATAGAGGGCGCAAGTAGCTATAAGTAGTGCATTGGGGCTTTAATGTGTCAGGAAGGAGAAAACAACTACAGATCTAAACAGTATGTATTTCCGTCTCAGTCCAAACATGTATAGAATCAGATTTAGATTTCCTGCTTACAGCCATGAAATAGGATGATGAGAAAATATGAAACCGGATACATGTTCAATCAAATAGTTGACATAAAAAGCAAGAGGAAACTAAGGAGAGCAAAAACAGAACGATTAAAGAAACAGATATGACAGAGACAGAAATAGAGGTGTAATATTGAAACAGAAAATGGAGAATTTATATACCGGTAGTGTACTTATAAGGCTGACGAAAACAAGATTGCTTTGAGCATAATTATAAAGATAGAAAAAATAAATTGGAGGAGAGGGGGGGGGGGGGGGGGGGTGAAGTAAAATCAAACAGAAAAAATAGACATCACAGAAACACAATATCAATATCTGACCAAGACATAAGAACATAGAGGATGTAATAATGAAGTAAAAGAACATAACAACTTGCTTAGAAAGACAGAAGGAAAGAAATAAAGAATACAAAAAAGAGAAATAGAACAAGAAAAGAGTACTTACATATGAGAGGGGGGGGGGGAATTATATTGAATAGTCGCAGAACAATCAAAAAAGAAAACCCATATATAACAGAGATAGGAATATGAACATCTGACAGATAAGACACCAGATCATTTTACTGTGAACAAAGTCATAAACTTTAAAGAAAAACCCAAACTTTCTTTGGCAGAAAAAGCAGTACAATTATAGACATAGAATTTAAAGAGAGAATATGATATATATGGCAGTCTCTTGTAAACAGGATACAGGATATTCAACGCAAAGTTTTATGGAAATCAAAACTTGTTTTGCACAGAAGCAGTAATACGAGAGAAAGAGGTTTTAAAAACAATCAATGAGAAATATGAAAACATACCAGATTTATCGGATACTTTGAAAAAATATAGACGTTTCAAGGAAAAACCTAAATATGTGTGTCAACGTTCCAAGAATATAAGCAGGGCAATTAGATTGAGACAGAAATATAAGGAAGATGAAGAAATACTGGGAAAAAATGGAGATACATTGTTCATGTAGGAAATTAAAAAGTGAATAGGATGCTTAAAGGGGAAGTCCCTAACCGACATATACTTCATTTGAATAACAGGAGATAAACTGGAAGAAACGGTCACATAAAAACAGAACAATAATTAAAGAAGGAACTATTACAAACATGAAGGTTACCTACTAGGATACATGTAAGATGGAGAAATGATGAAAATGCAGGAGATTAAAAGTAAACATGAAGCTTTAAGAGGAAGATACTCCCAACCTGAAGTTCATTTTGAGGGCAGCAGCAAAACTGGGAGAAAAGGTCAGTGAAAGTTTAAGAAGAATTGATTTCTCTTATTTGCCTCTGGAAGCTATTCTTTGTTTGTTTTTGTACACTAAATTACTGAATATGCATAGTTTGGGTTCATGATAAAGAAATGACATGTGTTTGTTTTCAGGATGAGAAAGATAAAATTATGTAATGTACTTACAGCACCAATCAATATTGCACTTCTGAAGAAAAATGGCCTCAAGTTCTCGGGCAAGAGAAAAACCTTTGCTTTCATCCTGCTTATAGACAAAAAGTACAAATAAAAAGGCAATTACAATTAACACACCAAAGTCATAATACAAACAACAACAACAAGTGCTGAGTACTAAACATTTCATTACCTTTTAAAGTATACAGATGTAGCAAGTAAATATTTATGTATCTTTAATGTTTGACTGGAATATTGAAGTTTAAAGTAGATGTAAGCACTTGACATGGAGAGAAGATAAATTCTGATTGTAATACTAATCCCGATCTATTAACACTTTGCCAACAGGTATTACAGGAACATGATGGCACCAATATTAAGCCTACAGAAATTCTGTGGTCATCAGATTGATTGGGCATGATATAGAGAATTAAAAAAAATAAATAAAATAGCAGAAATATCACACTTCATTTGATACCTTTCTACCATTTCGTACCATTTATATGGAATTTTGTCAACATCTGTCTCTTGTAATAAAGGGAACACTGAGCAAAAGACATTACCGGTACAAAGATTACCGGTATGAAAAGGTCCAATCCCTTTAAATATGTGGATCAGCGGAAAATTTGGCAGTCCCATCGCTCCAGATTTTAGTTAGCTTTAGGATAAAGTTAACAGTTAGGTATTGTGTTAGAGTCTGATATTATATCAAGAAATTTAGTTTGTGTTAGAAATTGACTGTAAATCAACAGCACCATAGCATTTCAATTTGTCATATACCTTGGGCCCGTTTCACAAAGCCTCTTTTCAATGACAAATGACGAAAATCAGTGAAAAATATCCTGCTAACCAACCATAAGCAAGGATTTCAGAAGCTTATAACAAAAACTGTCATTTGTCACCGATGACAAGTTTTGTCGCCCCCCCCCCCCCCAGAACTTTCCATGCTTGACTTACTTCAAGAGGACTGGCCATGATGTCATAATGGAATCATGTGATGTCACAATGGCATCGTAGCACAGACAGACGCCTAGTATAGTAGCAGCGTGTTCCTTGACCAGCAAAGCACACAGGGAGAGGAGGATGGAGAGAAAGAGATGCGGGATGGATGTGGAGGCGTGGCAAGGTCCATCGGGGTGTGGTCTCTGTGACGCTGAACATCTGAAATGTATTAATAGTAGAGGTGTCATGGACGAGTGGACATGTCACTGGACTGTGGATCACAAGCAGGGTTGTTGATTTTTTTTTATTTAAATCGGATTTTTATGATTTAAATCAGATTTTTTTTATTTTTTTTCCAACGAAAAATAATGGTCACACTTAACAAGTTTTAGACTATATTTAAACTGTTTTACACCAATAATAGTGGTCAAGTAGTCTTTTGAACATTGTGTATTGTACTATTTGACACAATAATCCACTTATATACAGGTAATTTTTTTTTTTTTTTTTTTATTTATTTGCATTATAGAGAGGGACATTTTATGGAAGCCCAAGTAATGTTATGTATTATGTATACATTTAAACTCTTGAAATTTTTATATCAGTCTGTACGTTAACATCTAATTTGAATGTAATATTTAACCAGATTTGCAATAGGCACTTCCTGATATGCTTGTAACAAAATACACATTTTATGTTTTCATTACAGTGTAACCTCAGTTCCAAATAAAACTTCAATTAATTTCGTTGCAAGATGCAGGATAAGCACCACTGTCTACCACATCATTGATGTGCTGTTTTTTCAAACTATTACATGAACAAGCAAGCACAGCAGTTGTATTGCTGCATACAGTAACACTTGCCCAGCAACTTTCCCATTTTTAAATTCTTACTTATTAAGTATACATGTGTACTTTGAAATTGTGTAATTGAATGTATGGGTATTGATAAGAAAATACACAAGCATGCAAATATACATGTAATTCTTATCAAATGTACACATATGCCTTCAACTTAAGTAATTGAAAGAATGGGTATTAATAGTAGCAAGAAGGAGGTACATACAAGTAGTTCAGCTGTTTTGTAAAAGTATCCAAGTTGTGGACTTTGAGCACCTTTGTAGATTTTATATATTATTTTATTGAAGATTTAACAGTTTGGTGTACATACAGAGAGTTATTTATCATTACTTCGTTAGAAACTTGTTGTTTTCATCAGTTTTGCTTGTTTTACAATTTGAAAATAAAACAGTGGTGTTAAATCAGACTCCATGAGGGTGTATCATTCTTTTAAAGTATCTCTAAAGCATGTGGAACAGAAATGAAAATGATTACATTGAAAGTATCTGTTAAGAAGAAGAGAAAATAGAGAAAACTAATTTTTTTCATAAAAGTTGATTTAAATCAGTGATTTTTTTGAAAAAAATCAAGTGATTAAATCGCGATTTAAATCATGATTTAAATCGACATGATTTAAATCAAACAACCCTGATCACAAGGTCCGCGGTTCAAGTCTCACCGCGGCATTATGGTCCTTTGGGAAGACATTGATCAACATTTGCCACTCTCCACCCAGGTGGTACATGTGATAATATTCATAATACAGTGAAGCCTGTCTATAATGACCACCCAAGGGAGACAAGAATAGTGGTCTTTATGTACAGGTGCCTATAGATAATAGTTTCAATGAGAAACCATTTTCAAGGGAAACCAATAATGTGGTTTTTGTAGACAGGTAGTCACTAAAACTGTTTGTCTGTAGTAGAAATGTGATGATATTCATAACACAGTGGAACCTGTCCATAAAGACCACCCAAGGGAGACGAGAATAGTGGTCCTTATGTACAGGTGCCTATAGAAAATAGTACTTGTTCAATGAGAAACCATTTCCAAGGGGAACAAAAAATGTAGTCTTTGTAGACAGGTGGTCACTAAAACAGGTTTGGCTGTGGTAGGACTTTGCAAATTCGGAAAGGGGGTTTGGCATGTACATGTAGATAAGATGATAAATACAATGAACAAAGAATATTGATATACAGGTACGTACATGTACATATTGTCTTTCATGTTGTTTTTTTCTTCTAATTTTTATCTTTAAATTTGAAAAGTTCTAGAGCTTTCAATCTCCACCAATTTTAATCTTCCAGATACAAATGCACATTAACGTGAACTGTACGTATGTAGTGTACATTGTAGTTCCACCAGGCTAGTAAGATCCATTGATAACAAAAATGTATTATGCTTGCATTCTTAGCCCCTTCTCTGCCACTAAGATTGAGATAACTCAGACCCCCAAAAGCAGGAAATAAATTTACTTCTATAATAAAAATAATTTTTGTAGATCCACTTTTAATATCCATCAATGTATTTTTCCTCAAGATGTACATGCATATCTTCTTCTTTTTTCCCGCCTCTTTTCGTTTTTCCCTAATGTTTTTTTCCTACATGTATGTATTTTACATTTGTAAAACATTGCCCAATTTGGCCTTGTAGGCCGCTATGCATTGTTGTTCTTTTATTCTCAATAAAACCATTATCTATCTATCTATCTATCTTACATGTATGTTGTTTCTATTTTTACCGCTTGTATAAAACTGCTATTTTCCTTGTAAATACTCTTGTCACTTCTTAAATTTGTTTTCTCCTTCTTTATGCAGGACAATTATGTGAAACAGCCTGCGAGCTGATCAATGTTGTCTTGTTTAAAGATGTTTTAATAAATAAATAAACAAATACAAAACAAATAATATTTATTTAGAATAACAAACAAATAATATTTATTTAGAATAACAAACAAATTCCATTACCCAAACTCAAATTTTGCTCTAGAAGTAAAGTTTACAAACCTGGAGTATGCAAGGAATGCAAGGAGAAAAAAAGACAAGACAACACATCAGCACGGCCAACAACTCCAGCAACCTGAAAAGGAAAATGATAGAAAAAAAAAAGAAAGAAAGAAAAAAAAGAAGGAATGAAAACAAGAAATTGAATAACTGGATGGATAACAATAAAATGGGCTGTTTGAAAATAAGAATTACTATTATTAACTCTTTGAATGGTTTCTTTGTCTGTCTGCACAGTTGTGTGTTTGCCACACGTGCAATTTTGCACACACAAATATGTACCGATTGACAGAAGGATTGCTTCAAAGTGCAACACAGGGGCCATGATTAGCTCTATGACAACCCTACTATACTACTATACTACTACTGTATGTCCCTTTTGCAGCCAACCTCAAATTCTGTAGAACTTTGCAGGAATTTTGAATATGTCATGTATGTCCTATCTGTGAAATTCAAACGTTAGCAGTGTCCTCATATTCAAATTATGCAAGGAAACCCGTTTACTTGCTAGACTTCACTGTCAGACACTATTGAGTGACTGACTGTCTTTTTTTCTTCTTTGGTAATAACATACATAAAAAGAGTTGTAAAGGGTAAATGAGCATTTGTCTACATCAATAACCCACTTCTTGTGATGGCCAAGATTAAACTGATTGAATCTTTGCGCAGCATAAAACGTATGACCATTCGGTACAATTGTCTGAAAATCAAGACTATTACTTTTGGGCTCTATAGCCCTAAAGTCGATTTGACAACTAATAGTTGTTATTTTCCCACTTGAAGACATTTTCAAGCCCCACCTTTTTTAGGGAAGTTCTAAAATTAGTATTATCTTTCAAATGCAGTTGGAATTTAACTTTTTCATTTTTTTTGCCTGCAAATGGGACATAGTCCCTTTAACATTGTTATTGATTATTCTTGCACTGGAAATAGTCAAATAATCTTGAAGCCATTGGTATACACTACCGGGTATCTATTTTTGAGGCATATAAAGAGTTATTAAAGGTAAAGACTAGTATTGGAAACGCCCAGATTTCAAAAATGAAATGGAAGCTCTTATTACCAATCATGTGAAAGAATTATGTTTCGACTAATACATGATGATAACAAATTTGCCGGGAAACCGCCTACTAATTGATATATTTGGTAAATCAGTTTATCTAAATTGGTCTGTGAGAGATAAACGCACGTGTCACGCACGTGTCGCGCACGTGTGCGTATAGTCCCATATATATCTTTCTGTGTACAGTGCCTGTAACTTTCTTATCATTTGATGATTCCAGAAACTAGCAGTACACACCAATACTTATATGCTAGATGATCAACCTTTTCTGATCGATTCCACAACGTTTCTTTCATAATGCATTCGCATGACCAAATTCTGGTCTTTGTCTTTAAGAGTATCTTCATTATTCCTATTGTCCAACCTATGTTTAGATGTTAAGGTGTTTAAATGTAAGCAGAGACAAGAAGAAAGCAAATGAAAAAGAATTGTAGTTCACCTACTTTAACATTTTCTTCTAATAAAACCTGATTTCTGATGAAATATTTATACATGTACATGTACATGTAGGCTAAATGATGCTGCTGGGAAGTCAAAAGACATACAAAATAAAAAGGTAATACTTTCTTTGCAAACAGAACAAAAAATGAGGACAAGTACAAAATCCGAGAAGAAAAAAATTGTAAAATAAAATGGAACAGCATATCCAAATGAAACATTTTACACAGAAAATGACTCCCCTTTATAAGGTCAATGGATCCGTGGCTTGGACAAACATGTAAAACTATCATGGCCAGAGGCTAAACACGATATTCTATGAACGCTAAGCATCCCGATCCTTCAGGATCGACTATCAGTTTCAAACATGCATTAGGCCTGTCCTCATCAGCTCGAGGTTCCCAGATATCCCGCTATTTGATCTATCCCGATCGCAAATTATCCAGTTAATCAGCCCAAATTTGCAATTAGCGGGATATTTGGTTGAGATAATTATCCCAAGATATCTTGGGGTAGTTTGCAAAATATCCCGCTATTTGTCCGGTGCGTCTTCACCAGACCTGCCAACCTCTGAAGTTCAAAAACTGTATTTTTTAGTCCTAAAAGTTGTATTTTACTGACAAAAGTTGTTTTCTTGAAAATAAACATGGATTGTTACGCGGATCAATGCCTCTTACAGTTTCTACCTACAGGAAGATTTTTTTTTATTGATCATTGGTTGATCATGCATGATTTTGTCATGACTGGTGTGTTCGATGAACCAATGAACATCCTCAAATTGCCGATGTGAGATACTTGTAGGATACTTTACAGGACAGAA